TCTTTGCACATTTTGTTATAATATTTGACTTTATCTTCTTGAACTGCCTTTTGAAATTTTCTATTCATCTTTTATGTCCTCATTTCTTCCATTTGCTTTAGCATCTCAACACTGGAGAGCAAGTTTCAGAGTGTCTTCTGACATACATTTAGGTCTTTTCCTTCTTTCTTGTTCTTTTAATGACTTTTGTCTTTCTTCCTGTATGATGTTCTTGATGTTATCCCATAACTCTTCTGGTCTTTGTCCTTTATTATCTAATGCACCAAATCTGTTCTTGAGATGATCTCAAGATGTTGTTATTAAGTGCTATCAAATAGGTTCTGACTCACAGAAACTCTATATAACATTTGTGACGCTGTAAATCTTTTCTGGAGCAGAAAGCCTCATGTTTCACCTGTGAGTGGCTTGTGTTGTGGGTTCAAACTGTCAACCTTGTAGTTCAAAGTCCAGTGCTTATCCCACAGAGCCACTGCATCCCTAATGGCAGGGCTGTTGTTGTTATGTGCCATGGAGTCAGTGCCGACTCATAGCGACCCTGTACAGTATTTCCAAGGCTGTACATCTTTACGGGAGCAGAAAGCCTCATCTTTCTCCCACAGCTAGAGAGTTTTAATGTTTTTCTGTGAACAGTTGGAAAATAATAATGCTTTCTAAACAACATAATGACATGGTAAATCCAGCTTTTAGAACTGCTATTGCTGTTAATTGGTATAGAGTCAGCTCTGACTTGTAGCATGTCCAAGGATCGTCTGGTAGGATTCAAGCATTAACTATTGATCCTGTGCTACTTATCTTACAGTGCCACACCAGAATCATAAGCAACAACAACAACAACAAAAATCAGATTGGTTAGAAGAAAAAAAAAAAAAAGGACTTATTTGAGAATAGAAGACCAGCCTGGTAGCGACTGGACAGTTACAAACAATCAGGAGACAATAGCCAATGCCTCCAAAGTAGTAGAGGACTGGCAAATGGAGAAGAGAGGATGGGTTGGAAACATCCTGGGAATCCACTAAGTAGAACTACGTGCACACCTGTGTTGTGTGTATGTTTCCTTGGTAATGCCTCTAGGGGAGAAGAGTGGACACGGGTATATTCATTTACTCAACAGACATTGTTATGTGTATAGTGTGTCAACCACTCAACATGTGGACAACAAAGGTTTGGTCCATCCTTCCCCTAAAAAGACAAACTGTATTAGAACATAAGTATAAGGAGCAATTCCAACACACTAAGATTACAGTTAAGAAGTTGAACAGATATCTAGAAAAGTGGGTTGGTAAATTTGGGAAGACAGGAACCCTGGTGGTGCAGTTGTCATCCATTTGGCTGCTAATGGAAAGGTTTGTGGTTTGAACCTGCCAGCCACTTCATGGGAGAAAGGTGTGACAGTCAGCTTTGGTAAAGATTATATATAGGGTTGGGAGTCTTATGGGCCAGTCTACTGTGTCTTAAAAGGTTGCTATGAGTCGGAATCTACTGGAGGATAGTGGATTTGTTCTGTTTTGGATTTGAAACATGGAAGAGGAAGAAGGGGCTAATTAAGAATATCCTTGGAAATTCACAAGCATGCCACAAGATGAAGAAGACAAAAAAGACTTATGAAACTCATTGATACCGCATGGATTCCAATTCATAGCAACCCTGTAGGACCACATAGAACTGCTCCACAGCACTTCCTAGGCTGTCATCATTATGGGGCAGACCACCACACCTTTACCCTGGGACCAACTGGTGCATCTGAACCATCAGTGGTTCAGTTAGCAGCTGAATGCTTAACCACAGTACACCCAGAGAATCCCAAATAACAACCTCTCCTCCTAAAGCAGCCACATCAGACCCCTTTCACCCTCAATTATTTTTAACCATAGCACCTTGATTGCTTGTTTCTGAGCATAAACAACAATGGGAAATTTGTTTCTTGCTTTTTTGAATAAGAGTTTCATAATATCTTGTTGTATGTATTTGATGAACGAATATATTATCACTGTTAATCTTGTTCTTTCCCTTCCCAAAATCACACAGTCAAACAAGCAATCCGTACCTCTCACACACCACACACACACACTCCATCTCTTCACAGAAAAACCAGGCAGACTGACAACTCCCACTAATTCTTAAATGAACGACTCTAGCTTTCTCGTCTAATGTTTTTGCAAGCACTTCTCCTGTGTGTAAGAACAACAAAAACAACAACAATGTATGTGAGTCCTGAAACAGCTTGGCAAACTACTGGGTTGTTAATAAAGACCCTCTCACATCAAAACAACTCAGGGTAAAGCTGAGTCAGGATAAGTTGCACTACTCACCTTTTACAGTAAATGATAATGATGGTGGTGATGAGTGTAGCCAACAGCAACAATAAAGCTATCCCTCCAGCCAAGAATAGGATATGCTGCTCCTCAGCTATATCTAAGAGAAAAAAAATCAAAATATAGGAATTGAGAATTCAACTACAGGGAGGATAAAGGAAGACAGGATGTGGAGTCGCCATCCAAACCAAACAAAAATTCAATTAAAAAATAGTATGATATACAGGAAACACAGCATTAACATGCAGGAAACATAGCATAGCATATGGGAAACAGTATACCATACGGGAAAAAGACAATTTGTATTTGGGAATGCCCTAAATATTTTGGACTCTTGACACCTTTCTATTAGGTCCTTGGTTCAGAGGAGCCCAACGTCTTAAAGAAAAGAAGAAGAGAAGGTAAGTTAAAGTCCAAGATCACCTCATTCCAATGAGTGTCTAACCACAGACAAAAATCTTTAGTAGGGAAAAACAAAACAAAAATGCAACTATCAAAACAGCATGCAAATGAATGTTGGTTTTATACCCGTTATGTCAAGTACATTTAATATAGACTCATAGGTAACTTTGATGCTTATAATTAGAATTTTGTTTAAGGAGTATTTTTTACTCAATTTGATTCAATGATAAAATTATTATAATAATCCACGGAAATGTGTCACTCCAACACTGTCTCTAGCCTGAAGTTATCACCTATAGCAAAGTCCCTCATCTTCGTTGCATTTGTGTCTTTATTCGTTGATGGTAACAATGATGGTGTTTCTAATTGCATCACAGGACGGTGTCAGGAATCTAAAGCAGCAACATCCTCAAGGCCAGGCAGTGACCAGGGGGCTTCTGTCTGGAGGCTGAGATCAGCCCGCTCTGAGACAGCTCCCAGTTATTTTCCATCCTCCTCCCATTGATGGTCAGTTCCCAAGAAAATGGACAGCCTGGGGAACCCTGAGGAGCAGTTCCACTCTGGAGTGTGGTCAGAATCAACTTGATGACAGTGGGTTTGGTATGACCCCCCGACAACCTGTCTCACCCGTACCCACTAACAGAGGGCACTGTGGGCTCTTTACACAAAGAAAATTAATTTGTAGGTGTTGTTGAGAATGGAATGAACTGAAACCTCAAGAAGTGCCTTTATTGTCATCTCTCTTTGGGACTCACCACCTGTCTGTCAGTTTGTCATACTACAGTGGCTTGTGTGCAGCTGTGATGCTAGAAATCATATACCAGTATTTCAAATACCAGTAGGGTCACCCATGGGAGACAAACTAATAGAGACTAGGAATAAAGGGCTGGTAATGTGCTTCTGAAAATTGCCCAATGAAAGTCCGATAGAGCACAAGGACATTTTACTGTCACCTGAGTGCCAGGCTTCTCCAGTGAGTCTTCCTTGTCTTCTGTTTAGAGTATTTCTTCCTTTGGACTCTTGGTGTGACATTATAGGATCAGTACTGGATTGTGAATCCCAAGATCAGCAGTTCAAACCCACCAGCTTCTCCTCATAAACCCTATACAGGGTCACTATGAGTCAGAACTGACTGGATGGCACTTAACCATTACAAGTCATTCCCAGTAATTGTTTTCCTGTATACGTATCCATTTCCAATATAGTGCTGGAAGACAAATCCCCTAGGTTGGACCTACTGCTCTGCCATCAAGGGAATTCCAACTCACAGCTGCCTTACAGGCCAGAGCAGAACTGCCCGTTTGGGTTTGGGAAACGATAAATCATTATAGGGGCAGACAGGGGCAGACACTCTCACCTTTTGCCCATGGAGTGGCCGGTGGGTTTGAACCACTGACTTTGCTGTGAGCAGCTCAATGTCTAACCCACTACACCATCAAGGCTCCTTCCCTAAGTTGGAATGCCCTGAAAACTCACAGTGGCTCCAACGATAGTCTCAAATGTACCAACAACAATAAAGATGGCCAGGCCCAAGCAAGGATTTGCTCTGATGTACATGGGGTCACTGTGAGTCAGAGCCAACTTTGTGGCAACAAACAAAACTCACTGAGAAAGCAAACGTCCAAGTCTCCTCTGCTAACCTGCAGGCAACGCCTGGCCAGAAACAAGAGAAGCACCCACCCCTCCCTTCTAATGGTATCTCAGACGTGGTGCCAGGCCACCCAGAACTTTACTGAAACCTGAGTACCAAGCTTCTCCAGTGATTCTGTCTTGTCTTCTGTTTAGTGTAATTCTTCCTAGTGTGATATTGTAAGATCAGTACTAGACTGTGAACTACAAAGTCAGCAGTTCAACCCCACCAGCTGCTCCTCAGAAACCCTATACAGGTCACTATGAGTCAGAACTGACTGGATGACAGTTAACAATAACCACAATCCACTCAAAATAATTATTTTCTTTAAGAAATTTAGTAGTTTCCATAGTCCCTAAATGATGTATTGTTTATACAATAGGGGATGGAGTATGTACAAAAATACAAAAGTCTGCATGCTTAGACTAATCTAACAAATGTTGAAGGCTATGTTTAAAGGGCAGGATGTGGCAGGTCTGTCTTAGAAGAATCCTCAGAGCCCTGACAATTCAGCTGTCTTCCTTCAGTAGGATCCGCGTCTCAGGAATTTGAAAATAGAATCCAATTGGAAGCATGGACATCTGTGTCACCGTTGTTGTTGTTGTTAAGTGCCATCGAGTCGGTTCTGACACATAGAGACCCTGTATAGGGTTTCAAAGGAGCAGCTGCTGAACTTGAACCACCAGTCTTGCAGTTCAAATGGCTTTGCAGTCTGGTGCATTATCCCACAATGCCACACCAGGACTCCTGTGTCACCGAAGGTAACTCTAAATCCACTTTTCACAAGCCATTTTTTGATATGAAATATGTTAGCATCTTATCCCCATCCTATAAAGTTTGACCTTTCAGAGCTAGATCCATGTATTCATTCATTCATTCATTCATTCATTCATTCATTTCACACAGAGCCTTTCAGCCCATGTGGTTGGTGTCTAGCTACAAAAGAGAAGGTGGTGGGCAGAATCAAATTTATTACCTAACTTAATGGCAAGTACATTGTTTTGAAAAGTTCTGGATAATTTGTGAATGCCCATGGAACAAGCATATTCCCTTAAGAAATAGGGTAAAAGTTGAAGAGGGTGGGGGTCTCAGTTACACTCAAGAGATGGGACAATCTAGAATATTTTAGTCTACAGCCAGTAGTGTTTCTATCCTCCTCTGTCCTTTTCCAACTGCTTTACCAAGAATGATAACTACTGAAGAGGCAGGCTGGTCTCACCACACAACCTTATTAGCCCTGCATGGCTAACAAACAAACAAACAGAGGGAACAGACTTAGAACAGTCAAACAGAGGAGAGTAAAAGGGCAGCATTTACACAGGGCTAAAGCTCCGAAGGCAGAAAGGGATAGAAAGGAGACTGAAAGGGAGTAGTAAACACAGTGAGGACGTGGGAAGAGTAGGGGTTTACATTGTGGGCATTGCAATTCATGTACAAAACAAACTGTGTCTGTGTTGTTGGATAGAAAACCAAGTTACTGTGTAAGTTTTCACAATAAAAGGTTTATAAATAAATAAACATGTAAAAAGATACCTTTAAAAATGAATAAAATAAGGGCATTGGGTCTAGATAAATGCTTCAGGGAACTGTTAATCAATAGCTCATAACATCTACTTTCCCCCCAAGTTCTAGTAACAGATCTCAGGTTGACTAATGTCAGCCCTAAAGCGCCTGTCTTAAAAAAGGAAGAGTTATTGTCCATTGGGCTGATTTTTTTTTTTTTTTTTTTTTTCAATCGATCTCCAGACCTTTCTCTGTTAGTCTGGACACTCTACAGAAATCTGTTCAGCAACACAGCACCCAAACCCAGGATTTTTTTTTTTTTTTTTTTTTTTCATTCACAGACCAATGCTGTGCTGACTCACTGGAGGACAAAAGTGTCTTGAACCATAAAGCCATTATATTCCTTCCCATCATAAAAGATAAATACAGCTAAAACAACTTCAAGCAAGTCAGTGAAATATATAAATAATTCACTCCCAAACTGTGACATTGCAGACTAACGTGGGTCAATGACAAATATTTATGGCTGAGTCATAAACCCCAGAACAGGTTTCTGATGGAAAAGGCTGCCAGGAGGCCAGTAGCGGGCACAAATGTCGAGTGTTTGCCATTTATCAGAATTTGGGATGGGGTGAGGGATGGAGGTAGCCAAGTAATCTAGAACCTAAATACTATAAAAACATGCTAAGAAAGCATATGGCTCCTGATCCCTACGTAGATGTCTGTTCTAATGATTCTAGCTTTCAAAACTCACTATACAGAGAGCAGGAACAGCAGCTGTCATTCTAGATATAAATGAAATGATCACATGTGTGAGTTTGCCAGGAGGAGATCTGCTTCAGGCCAGATTCTACAATCTTATGATCATTTCAAATTTGGACTCACTGTAGGATACATTTCCACAGCTCATCTGTCAGCTTACAGAACTGTAGTAGCTTGTGTGTTGCTGTGAGGCTGGACGATATGCCACTAGTATTTTAAATACCAGCAGGGTCACCCATGGTGGATAGCTTTCAGCAGAGCTTCCAGACTAAGACAAGGAAAGAGAGGCAGGCTACTTCTGAATGTTTAGCCACTGAAAATCCTTTGAACAGCGGAACACTGTCAAATACAGTGTCAGAAGATGAGCCCCTCAGGATGGAAGACACATAAAATACGACTACGGAAGAGCTTACTCCTCAAAGTAGAATTGGCCTTAATGATGTGGGTGAAGCAAAGGTTTCAGGACTTTCTTCTGCTGATAGGGCACAATTCAAAATGAGAAGAAGCAACTGTAAATATCCATTAATAATCAGAAAGAGGAGTGTACAAAGTATGACTCTAGAAAACTTGGAAGTCATCAAAAACAAAAAGGAACAAGTAAATTTGGATTTTCTAGGCATTAGTGAGCTGAAATGAACTGGCATTGGCCATTGTGAATTGGACAATTATATGGTTTTTGCCAAGAATGATAAATAATTGATGAGGAATGGGATCCCATTCATCATCAAAAAGAGCATTTCAAGATCTATCTTGAAGTACAATGCTGTCTAATATAGAAAAATATACATATGC